GGGCTGGAAGACATGAAGCAGGGCAGGGTTTCAGGGACAAAATTGGTATACAGGATTGAGTCAAGTTAGCCATCCTTGCTGAGAGACTTGTAAGCCCTTGCACACTTGGGTAGACGCCCGAATACTATCAAGTAGAAGAGTGAAAAAGTAGATCGAATCGGACCTGAGAAAGTACGAAATCATAATGAACAAGTTCATTATACGGAGAATCGATGTTCTGGAATACATCCCTAGGATAACGCCGTGTTCTTGTACACGCCACGATCGCTATGTAGCAGTCAGGACATCTGGACCCACTGTCATCGTGATAAAGACCAGCAAGACGGACAATGGTCACGCCATCACACCCCGGCTTCCTGAGGTCCGCCGTCAACAACAGTAAGCTCAGGCTGCTGGCAGGACTTTTTTCCGGTCATTTTGAGATACTTGGTATTCGATATCGTTTGCAGCCCAACAATGGCCAATTTGATTATATACAGCGTCAGTTTCCCAACGACCGGACACCGACAATCACGGGCATTCAGTCCTGTCTGGGATAACATGCACGTGGACTCATGGATGGAGTATGGCCATCCACCAACTTGATTCCCGAGCCAGGGAGCCCTGCCAATGCGAAGCTCGGTTCGGCACCCTTCGTAGAGATTATATCAGCGAGATTCGCGTCCGCTAGGCCCTGGGCAGGAATCGCTCTTTGTTTCCATTCTTCTGCTCGTTGGGCATCATATGCACAAGGACAAGCTTTTTCCTTTTTACTTGGCCATATGGACCACATGGCGCGATCGGATTCGATTTTCAGCCGCCGTTACTTTCGCTCTTCGCGGTAGTGAACGATTCTGTGCCGTGAAACGCTTGGCAGACTTGGAAGGTCTGCCGATTTCGAAAGTCTAAAGACTTGATATCCGATCACGCTCTACAGCGTACGGAGTCCATGTCCGTTTGACAGAGAGCTGATCAAAACCGAGGCCTTCTCGGCACCGATGAGTTCAAAACACCTGGCAGCTGCGTCTGATACAGCACAGACGTGCAACATCGAAGATCTGTCTGAATTATAAGTGCAGGCCGGAATATCATCATTCATCGCTATGCCGCTTCTTGTGCCAGACAAAGTCAACATGAACTACGCTAATATGATAGAGGAGAAGGCCCTCAAAGTAAGTCAGACAATGAGTCTTGGTGAAGAGGTAGGAGTGTGCTGCCATTCCCTGACCGAAAATACTCGCCGCAGAAAACCTTCATAATTGCAACACTGGTCTCCACATTGGTCGGAACATTCGCCGCTTCTCACAATCTCTACGAACGGTTGCACCAGAAGAAGAAGGATGACAACCAGGATGGTGCTATCAAGAAGCTGGAAGAGAAGTTTGAGCAGATGTCGAAGAAGAAGGAGGACGACTCTGAGAAGGACGACTTGAAAGACTCACTTGATAAATCAGGGCGACTCATTAAGAGGGAATACGATGTGTGTTATGACAGACTCGGCCGGAGGTTTGCGGTCGGAGACAGTGAGTCCTTCTTATAGCAACCGCCTGGGCGCTTGATTTTGGATAGCAATGACATACTCACCGATCAGTAGTTCTCACAGAGAATGAGCTTCAGAGACAAATCATACTACTTCAACAGACCGTGATTGGTGTCCTCGAAGACGCACTCTACAGCGGGAAGCATATTGACCGCGCCAGTATCGACAAGCTTGTATGGGCCTCCAACGCTGCCCGGACGAACTCCTTGGATGCTCTCAAGGGGCAATACCAGCGCATCGTTCAGGAACTACCGATCCCGACGTCACCCAAAAAGTACGTCGAAGCGGAAGTGATCGAGGTCAGCTCTCGAGGATCATCGCCTCGCCGGCAACCCCTCAAGGCCCTACCGCCGCCAAGAGCAAAGTCGCCCCCGTCGCCGTTCTCACGCGCCCATCCACTACCGCTTATTGTCGCCAAAACTGCTGATGCGCGGCCTTCATCACGCCCGCCACCACCACCAGCAGCCATAGTAGAGGTCATATCGCGTACGACAGAGAGGAGGTTGTCAGGCCGAGACTATTACTGCCGATACAGTCTTGATTTGCAAAAGTCACCGCGGCCTTTGATGCGAGCTTTCGATCCTGGCCGGGGTAGCAGATGTCCCGTGTGCGATGTGAAATTAGATGTTGATTCCGCAGACGTATGGGAGTTCAAGTTGTCTGTCAAGGAGAAGCTACTACAAGCGAAGGAGACAAAAGACGCCAAGGACCGCGGCCGTAGCAGGACAGGCAGAGAGGTGGTGGCCGTGGCCGAGCAGGAGCAGACAAAGACGGTCAAGTTCCGGGTCCCGGCAAAGTTCGTGGTGAAATGCCACACGCCCGAGGGCGACTATGCTTGTGTGCTCTGCTGTGGGCCGAGTAGCAATTATTCCGGGGTTGTGGTCTTGTGTGACGACCCAGAATCATTGGTCGACCATGTGGTAAAAGAGCACAAAGTTGCCGAAATAGAGAAGGAGTTTGACATCTTGAAATTGTGAGGCTCAAAAGAAATGTATATATACATATAAAAATATTCACACTTTCCGCCAACTGTTGTATAGGATCTCGGGAGCCGCCAACGGTTGCATCGGACCCACCAACGGTTGCATTGATGCAGCCAACGGACGCATAGGTGCCGCCAACGGTTTGCACAGATGGCTGTAAGCGAATGGAGAGCAGCGACCTGACATCTCTTCAGAACTGCCGTGTTGACAGAGAAACAAGTCACATCCTAAGTCCTGGCCAAAACCCAGTCTTTACTACCCACTTCATCACCTTCGACAGAATGGAGATGTCTGATCGCTCTAGTCTGACCCGATGGCTACGCATACTTTTCCCACCAGCGGATCAGCGCACCGTGTCTTCGATTTCCCTGCTGTTGTTGCTTATACTACTCCCATTCTTTGTTAACAAAGCGAGAAAATGCACCAAGTACACTCTGATGGGAGGTGCTCCTATTGTTGGGGTGAAATGGAAATTCGAGCCTCTCTTCGTAACGAGATATCGATTCGTCACGAGTGCATGGTCTATTACACGGGAAGGATGGGAAAAGGTAAGACAAGCGCTTTGCGAATTTGCAAAAGACCCTGTTTACGATCAGGACTCATATATTCTATATATCCAGCATCGCCAGTCTGTGTTCACAATGGTGCGACCAGACTCCAATATCACTGTACTGCCTCCGAGATATGTCGACGAGCTTCAACACGTAGACAACCACAAACTCCACCCCATGGATGCTCTCTCAAACGTAAGAAGTTCTATATCTCAGTGTTGATATGTTAGAATACTGATGTTGTCACAGGACATGTTGGGCTCCTACACAGGCATGTCCATTCTCACAACGAGTCACCTGACATTCGATGCTGTGCGAAACAAGTTCACACCCAAAATTGGACACATGCTCCCACTCTTGGTCGATGAACTTGAGTACTGTTTACCCAAGATTATTCCATCATGCAAGGACTGGACGGCTGTTGATCTCAACGACGTGATGACCCGCGCCATCTCCCATCTCACCGCTCGCACATGGGTCGGCTTCAAACTAGCCCGCAATGAAGACTGGCATACCGCCAACGCGGAAACGACCGCCAATATTTTTGCTACAGCCATCAGTCTCAAACTTCTTCCTGCTTTCCTCCAGCCCGTCGTGGCTCCGCTCCTCCCTATGCGACGGAAGCTTCATAAGGGTCTCAAGAGAGTTCACTCGTATCTCATACCCCTGATCGACGCGCGCAAACAGCTTCCCGATGACCCAGAACGTAAGCCCGAGGATATGCTGCAGTGGATGATAGATGCAGCCCAAGGCGGGGAAAGTGACACGGAAAATCTTGCCACCAGGTATGTATATGCTGTTATTGGGTCGCTGTTCACCGTCTCTGCGGGCCTGGTAAGCTGTATGTACGATCTCGCTGCGTACCCGGAGCACCTCGGGCCTCTTCGCGAGGAGGTTCGTAGGGTATTGAAGGAAGATGGCGGGTGGAAGAAAGGGACGCCCGCCAAGTTGGAGCTGATGGACAGCTTCATGAAGGAATCAGCGCGTATCAACGCCCCAACCCCTAGTAGGTTCACCTATCTGATCCAGAATGCCCATCTGGCCATTGCCTATACTTCAAAGGCTGTCAAAATCCACCCCCAATGGCTCAAACGCAATGCTACAGTGCTCGCTTTCTAAATATCCATCCACCCTGACAGTCAGCTTCAAACGCATCGTTAAGGAAGAGATGACGCTCTCAGACGGTTTGACACTACCCAAAGATGCATATATCTGCGTAGTCAACTCCTCATGCATCGGCCGTGAGGACGAGCCCTTTGACGGATTCCGCTACGCGCAAAGAAAGCCGGGCCAGTCACCCTTACCCGGTTCATCCGCGCTCAAGGCTCGGCAAATGTGGTACACGTCCACAGATCAAAGCCACATTGCCTTCGGTCAGGGACGCTATGCGTGTCCTGGTCGTTTCGTAGCCGCTGTCGAGATCAAGCTGGTATTGGCGGCCATGCTGGAGAGATACGACATCAGCTTCGGAGCCAAGGGAGAAATGGACCTGGGTCCGGCAAAACGGCCCAAGAACGTGCACCTGCTGGAGCTTGGCTTCACCGACCCGTCAGCAAGGGTGTTCTTGCGAGAGAGGGCCGAAAACGCGCGAAGGCTTTAGGATTTAGAACTTTGGGCAGACGGGAACTGGCATTCCTGGGATGATTGCATGGATGCGGCGTGCGTGGTGTCTGTGGAGTGATATATGTTGTAGCGACTCACCCCGGATTCAAGGTCTTCTCTCAACGCCGAGTCCCCAGATCCGAAATAAAAGTAATTACAGAACACAGCATGATTACTAGAAGCAGCAGGATCAAATTTTACCCCTCATACATTGTTCACAATGCCTGAAACCGGGCGTGGGTCGGGCGGACATGGCTCAACACCACACCTCATCCGCACAACACCAAGGACCACCACAACCACCCAAAAAAAACATCACGAACGCCATGCGCTCCCTTAAATGATTGATCTGTGCAGGGGTCGAACCTGCAATCTCCTGATTCGTAGTCAGACGCCTTGCCATTGGGCCAACAGACCTTGTGTTTTTGATGAATGAGGACGGCAATTGATCATATATGGGCTAGGAACGTGTGGAGACGGCGGAAAAGCCTGCGCAAAGTGGGGCTGTAGATCCGTCTTGGCGGACAGCTTGATTGCAAATGGAGAACTCGACAGTATGTTTGCAACTCGCACGGCACGAGCAATTGTCGGCGAAGGGTGTAAGAAACTGAGTGTGTTGATGTTGATGATATATGAAGGGGAAGGAAGGGCTACTGCACCAGGACCTCGAAAGAATGGCTGAATAAGCCTTCAGCAGTATTAACTAATCATTAAATCGACGTCATCTATAGATGCGACTCGAGTCACCAAGGTCTACAGCAAGGCTACGAGGTGACTTCGACACGACGACACCAGCCACTGCCAACTTTCACTAGGCGATTGTCTCTTATACCTGACCACAAGGCTACACTCGGTATTGGGATCGATTCCAGAAAAATGGATTCATAATTATAGACACCCAACCGGCGGCTGGAGGCGCCCTAAAGGGTGGGAGAGCAACACATGTCCTTAGACTCAGACTCAGGTTTTAGAATGTCGTTCCACGCACAACGCAGCACATGCTTCCTCCAGCTACGCCTTCGGTGCGGTGACCTGTCTACCACTTATGAACCAGTCATACTCCAGTGTCACTCGCGCCGTGATCCTCGCAGCTGGTGCAATATTCGTAATTTCATCCACCAGATCCCGAAACTTGGCGTGGATTCGACGACTCCATGTTGCGACTGTAATGGTTCTCGAGGGTAAGCCAGCGAAAATTTGCAAGCAAGTTCTATCTAGCGCTGGGTGGAGGGGTCCCCTTCTTTCATGGTCTTCAAAGTGAAAGACATGACGGGTCAGTATCATGCGCCAGGATTCTTGGGTTGACGGTTCCTCTTCCTCCACGAGGAGACCGGCTCATCGAGCATGACGTGCATTGACTACATACAATCGTGTTAGGGCTGGCCAAAAGAGTACTCATTTCGAGAGACATGCCACTATGCCGAAAGGGAACATAGCGGAGGCTTCGTTTCGGGCGAACCGCACCCATGATTTTGGGCCTCGCCAGAATTGATCGCCACATAGAGGACCGCGAAGTACGTTCAAGGCGGAACAATCACAGTATTGTTGAGATCGGTGATCTGGACAGCTTGGTTGTTAGGGACTGGTCTTCAGCTGTTTGCTCGTAATCGACCAGGATATTGTCGGGTTCGATATTTATACTCTTCTCAGCATTCACTACGCAACCTGCCGCATCATCGGCGTGGTGTGGCACTCACCATAGATGATAGAGAATATCGTTGTTATGTAGCTCTCCAGGGCTGCCAGGCTGGATAGGGCCTTTCTCAGGATGACCTTCCTTTGTTGATTGGTGAGCCCTGGGTGTTTTATGAATTGAATCAGATCGCTGGCAAGGAATGGGAACTTCAACAAGTCTTACTGACAACCAGGTTGGATGATGGATCGACTACAGTCTGTACTTAAGTATGTTATCCCAAGGCAAAGCGCCGCATTGCGGCGTATTTTTAGATCATGACTTCTATCTTGGTAACCACTGATGTTGTTCACTTTTGGGGTACAGTTAAACAATATCTCTCTTGTAGTGTGAACTCCGTTCCCTATACGGCTGAGAACCTTGTAGCTGGGAGGATAGCAGGCCAGTCCAGGCAGTGAGCAGCCTTCACAACATTCATCAGAGGGATCATTCCGAGTCAAAATAATTATGACAATGTCATCTCATATAGTCATACGATGAGGACTTCCACAAATATCTAACCAATCAAGCTATGAGGTATACACAAATAGGAAATCTGCCTTTCGCTCCAAGACTTTCCTGCACATATGAGCAGGCTTACAGACAGTACCTCTACTCTTCATCATTGCCAATTCTATGAGGCATTTCATGCCAATCCAAGCTCTTTGAGTTTATCTCCACACAAGAGACAACTCGAGCTACATATCTAGGTACAAAGCAGCTGGTGGGAAGTCACTTGGGTCTCGGTTGGCCCCTTCCTACCCATTCTTACCTTCCTGTATTCCTGCCTTGCAGCGTCCGACCTTCCCTCTTTCCCTTCTCGCGCAGACAGCATCTTTGAGCAGGTGGGGAACTGAACTCTATCAATAATGTCATCACCTGCAGTGATTGAAGCGTGTGACTCAGGACCAGTGCTTGGCTGTTTGTCTCTCATCAATCATCATCCGACAAATAATAGACCACAACTGTTGAACGCTTCTTGGCCGTTGTGCCCTTAAAGTATTTCTCCAACCCTCTCATCTTCAGACTAAAATCAAATTGAAAGGGCTCGATACCTTCCCAGGCACCATCTGCTCACTCACATCAATTGGATTTGTTTGCCTTTCAATCTTACAATCGCAATCACTTCTTCTTCATATCTCAATACCTTTTCCCAATCACTTCTCCGTCATCTCTCGATATCTTCCCCCAAAGTAACAAACCTACGCATACTCCTTTTCTCATATCCCCTTCACCCGCTTCACTTCGCCATTCAACCCTTTTCCCTCTACAATTGTCTGGATCCGCCAACCACGCCTGTCGAGAATCGAGAGTCCAGAGCCTTCGGTTCAATATGGCTGATCAAGGCAGAGGACGCGGTATTCCCCATGGCGGACAGGCGCAAGGCGGCGCTTTTGTTCGCGATGGCCACCAAGGCAGCAGTGATCGGGGTGGTCGCGGAGGTCGTGGTGGTGGTCATGGTGATGGTGGTGGTGGTGGTCGAGGCAAATACGGTCCTCCGGCGGTCTACAGGTGAGTCGTTCCCTTTCCACTCGTATTGCAACAGACCCCTCCATATACTTCCTCACTTTCATGAGCTCTAATTCAACGCTCTCCGTCAATTCACCCTTGTATTATGACCTCAGCTCACCCAAAATACATTCAGACCTGCCAATGGTGTCATTCCCGCTCCTGATATGCGTGTTCAAACGGTTGAGAACGCTCGCCAACGAGCCCGCCAGCCCCCAAGCTCCACCACGACTTCTCTCGCCCTCAGCAACACCATGCCCGATCGACCGGGCTACGGCACCGAGGGAACACCCATAACGGTCTTCACCAACTACGTCACTTTCACGCCCAAGACCGATCTCGTTTTATATGTGTACGATATCAGTAAGTATCACCTTTGCTGCTGCCGTTAAGACTCCATGTTTCACTGTGAAAGTGTACAGCAGCGATAACCATTCGTTGTTGGTCATACTAATATGCTTCTTCAGAGGACATCCAACCCAGTGCTGCTGGTAGGAAGTTATCTCAGATCATCCGCCTCGTTCTTAATGAGTCCAACGAGCTGGCCGGGTATCGTGACGACCTCGTCACCGACTTCAAGTCCACTCTGATATCGAGAAAGCAATTCCCTATCGGACACGAACGTCGCATTATCACGATTACGTACAAGAGCGAGGGCGAGGACGAACCAGTCAGCCATGCTCAGACCTACAAGGTCCCCGTCAGACTGACCAAGATCTTAACTGTTGGGGAGCTTATGGCGGATCTCACGTCCACCAACCCTACTGCACAATATGACAGCAAGCTGGAGCTCATTCAGGGCCTGAACATCTTCCTCAACCATTATGCCAAGGTGAATGATAGCCTCGCTACCATCGGCTCAAGCAAGACCTTTGTTCTAAATGCCAGTGACAACAACAACACCGTGGATCTTGGCCAGGGTCTCAGGGCCATCAGAGGTTTCATAACCAGCGTGCGGGCCGCCACCAACCGTATCTTGGTCAACATCAACGTTAGCCACGGTGCTTTCTACCAAGAAGGCACATTACGGGATCTGATGTCGGCGTTCAAGAAACAGCCATTTGGCAAGATGGCAACTCTTGGCGAACTCGATATCTTTCTGCAGCAATTACGGATTCGCACCTTACACTTGGGAGAAAAGAGGAATAGGCATGGTGTGGTCGTCTTTCGCCAGAAGTCTATAGTGGGTCTCGCCAAGCCGTATAAGCCGAAGGGGAATGTCGCCCTTCTGGGAAAGCCGCCTATAGTGCCTGCATTTGGTGCTGGGCCTGCAGATGTAAAGTTCTGGTTTCGCGAGCCGACGAGTAGCCGTGGACAGCCTGTAAGTGCCAAAGTTCTCTTCACTATATCGCTACATACGCTGACAAGCTACACAAGATGGGCCCTCGGCCAGCAGAGTCTGGACCCGGACGGTATGTCAGTGTTTACAATTACTTCAAGGATACGTATAATATCGCAGCAAGCAACGACCTTCCGGTCATCAACGTTGGGACCGAAGACAGCCCGTCTTATCTGCCAGCTGAGGTTTGTGTTGTGCTGCCTGGTCAGAATGCGAAGTGTAGGCTCAACAGCGAGCAGACCGCTCAGATGGTCTCCTTCGCCGTCCGCCCGCCATGGGTGAACGCCAAGTCAATTGAAGAGGACGGATTTGAGACTGCTGGCATGTCCAGGAGCACAAACCAACTTCTGGTAAATCCCGATACATGTCCGTGATATCCCCTCATCTGCTAAATATAATCATAGGATCGGTTCAATGTCACTATCGGCCAGAGCCTAATCACCATCCCAGCTCGCCTCCTAAAGGAACCATACGTTCAATACCAGAGTCAGCATGCTCGAGTCGTCAATGGCAGTTGGAACATGAAAAATATTAAATTCAACAAGCCCGGAAAGCTGAAGAGATGGGGCGCCCTTGTCATCCGTAACGGCGATGCTCCTTCCGCAGCTTTGGACTACAAGATAAAAGATGTTCAAGCTGCTGTGGATGAATTCAAGAAGTCGCTATATTCGAACGGGCTGGACAGCAAGGATGAGGTCTTCATTGGTGGTCAAGAGTTGACCTTGATGAATAGCGAGGATCCCGCTTTCAACGCTCTCGATTACAACTTTGAAACAGCCTCCAAGGTCCTTGATCTCCTGTTCATCATCCTACCCGGCAGGAAAAAGACGGAATCATTCAATGAAAAGGTTTACAATCAGATCAAAATTCTCGGCGATATCAAGTACGGAATCCACA